ATTTTGGAAATCCGGAAAGTTAGGGGCGAGAATATTGGAAATTTTGGAATTGAGTTTGTGAGGGCTGATCGCCACCCATCCGATGACACACCATGCACATCTACTCAGTTGAGAGGGCATGGTCTGTCAACGGGGGGGGGGGCGACCATATATATATATATATATATATGTATATATATGTCTACACACACACACATTCGATGTGTCGATGTGTAGTCATAGGCATAAACGTCGTCGTAGTGATAGCCACACTGCTGTGAGAAGCATCAAAATGATTGTACAAGTCTCGACTAGGGGTTTGCGTGCCTTTGTGGGAGCATTGCTAGTGTATGTATAGCAGAGTGCAGTGATCCAGCATGATGCGGAGTCTCATATGGGGGTTTCCGAAAATAGGGGACCCTAATATAGTCCCCTAAATAATAGGTTCCCTATTATAAGGACCCCAAAATAAGGTACCCCTAATTTTCGGAAACGCCCATATGATAAGCCCCGCCCCAGCTCCGGCCCGCGAGTTATTGCAGAGCTTGGAGAGCCGGCCCTCGAGAAGGCACTCGATGACCATCCTGGCTTCGGCTTGGGCAGCTGAGGGCTTTGTATTGGCCTCATGGTTTTGGGTTTGGGGTTCGCGGATGTTCAGATTACTTTTTTTTTAGAGTTTAAGGTTGGGGGTTTTAGGGTGTTAGGGTTCGGGACTGTCTAGTGACTAGTGGCTTTACAGGGGTTTGAGACATGGCTTGAAAGAGGGTTTAGGGTTGTAGGGTTCTTGTATGGAAGGGACAGGGGAACTTCAGTCTTCTGGAGCTCATACTTCCCCCACAAATTTGATCCGAGGGGCTTGGTGATGTTTATGGACACGCAGGCAAGCGGGAAGTTGTGCTGCGCGTCTTGCGCTAGCAGATAAGCCGCTTTCATGAGGTCAAAATGGTGCGCGAAGAAGTAGAACATTTGCATGACATTCAGAACACCGCCAGAGCGATTCAGGTCCTGGGTCACCACTCTTGGCATTTGCAACAGACAGGTCAAACACTAACTGCTTTGCTCCGAAGGGGTTGATCCCCGACGAAGTGCTCCTTTTGCTTTGGCTGGCACTTCTGCGGGGCAAGCAAGCTCAAAGACGCGCTCTGCAGAGCGTGACTGGCTTCTAGGTCCACAACTACGATTGGCATTTCTCTGGGTCACTTTTGCGGTTCGGCCGCAACGCTTCAAGGCAGGACTGACTAGACAGGGTTCTGCAAAAGATGTGCAAAATTGTATTACATGCCTTATCCGAGACAGCTACTGGCGGGTGCGACCGGCAGCAGGCCTGCTCTGTGTTTTCTTAGCATAAGTCGCCGCTGCCATCCTGCACTTCAGGCAGTGTGCCATTTCAGCAGGAGGTGTCGCCATTGTCCCTTTTCCTATATCTTCATGCCTCCTCAGTAATAATCTCCCAGGTGGGTGGGTTGGCGGGGTCACTGGCTGATGCGCGCGGATCTCAATTTCGCTGGCTTTTCTAGAGCATTTCCCAAGCGGGCCGAACAAGAAAATCTCCTTGTGACAGGCTTCAACTCGCTCTCTCTTGCTTGTCCTTTGGACGGATGATGGGAGGACAAGCTCTTGTCTCAAGCACGTCACGGAATGCTTTGCCAAGGATCCGTTCTGGGATCTCCGCTCTGAAACCCCAGCAGCTCCCAATGCCTGCCAACCGTTGGGCAGACCTTGTTCCTGGACAGCTTTCCGTACATCGTCCGCAGCATTCGGTGGTGCACGGAGTCGTTGAAGTCCTTGCATGTGTCATGCTTTACAGGATTGCACCCCAAGCCTGAGCTGCAAAGTATGATCAGTGGCCGAAGAAGAGTTTCTCCGACGCATGTTCCCAAAACCAGAAAACAGCTTACAACGAATTCAAACCGGGTATCAAAGTGGGTGACTTTGAGGAAGAGGACCAGGTCTTTGTCCGCGCAGAACCTTGTACCACTGCTGGCTCAAGGATAGCTGCATACCGGGCAATCTTCATGTCGTGAGGTGAAGCACTCAAAAAGGTTTTGCGGCGGAGAGCTTTCAAGATTCAGCGCTACTAGTTGTTTAAGCGGAGCTCCCTGACATGACCGCAATCTCCGCGGTAATTACTCTTTGGAATCCTCTTCAAGAAACATAACGGACACTGTCGTGCACGTCAAAAGCACCAAAGATCCATTCTGTCCCAGCCACCGCCGGTCCAGACCCGGAACTTCAGACCGGGGTCTTCGCCGCGGCTTGATGAAGCAGCCCACACAACCAGCAACGTCATCCTTCCAAACACAGAGGATACAATGTCCAGGTAGAGAAACACTCTAGCACGACGACCGTGAACTTGGGAGGACTTGATTCTTACGATGCTGTGCAAACACTTCCCATTCCCAAACACGAGCTGCAAACATGGCTCACAAACCCCCAGAGACACAGCAGGCTGAAACTCCTCTACCATCTCCTCTCGCATCTGCCGCAATGCAGCTGGGTCTATCTCCAGCTGGAGCAGCCTGGTGATGCCCCTATGCGCAAGGTGAACAACTAAGCCGTGGCATGCAGTAGCTGCATGGAAAGTGGTAGAGTAGAGCGGCCAGTAGGTAGGATGTATGCAGGACTTCCTCGCAAAGCCGATGGCGGTTGGAGTTTAAAGCACCAAACGCAGCAGCCGGAGTGGCGGCAGCAGAGGCAGTCAGGCATGACGCAAGGTGCGAGCACAAGCAGAAAGCACAGGCAGCGAAAGCAGCTGCAAAAGCAGTGCAAGCATAGTACATCTGTGCTTAACAAATCTGCACAACAGGTCTCTACATAGATGTACTGGATCTCAGACCAGGGAACCACTGCGTGAAGTCCTTGTAACTGAGGGGTTGGCTGAGGACGTCCTGATCAGCTGAGTTCGAGTTAGCACCGGATGTTCCCAAACTCGCCACAGCTGTTTCGGCTTTCCAAGACACAGGAGCCGGACAGTGGAGATTTGGGTGCAGATTGTTAGGGCTGGGTCCCGAGGCTGAAAGAAGCTTCCTGACGCTGCGGTGCCGTCCTGCGACACGGCGACGACGCCCTTGGACTCGCGAGCAGTCGCAATGAGCTCATCAGTCCGGCGGGCAATCTCGTCCCACTCCTTATCCAAGGTGGCGTCCTGCAGTCGACCAGAGGCTGGGCCTCGATTTCGGTAGACAGGAAAAGCGTCGCTGGGGTGCATGTAGGTCGCAGCTAAACAGCTGCCTGCCATCCCAACAGCAACCCCGGCTTTGCTCCTCGTCTGCCTCGTTGCGAACGGAGCTGTTTGCCGGGGAGGTGTTCTGTGGCACCGGCTCCCTGCAAAAGAGTGTACAGAGACCACGGACGACAGCTGTGGCAGATCAGCGGAGGCATGGCAAGCTGAGCACCTAACGCCTATCCATTTTTCGTTCATGCATCGAAATACTGCCAAAGCTGCAAGGCCTCCTCTCGACATTCTCCGTGCTCTCTTGCATGAGATGTGCCAGCGCGGCTTGATTGGAAGCCTCTCTCATGCATCGGGACTTCAGGGTGATTTCTGCTGTCGAACTACTTGGTCGGAATGACACAGAAAACCATGCTAATCCGATCATGCTGGGAAATCCTGTACATATGTACATATACTCAAAAATCACTACACCATGCAAAAAGGATCCCCACATTCAGTCAGCTCAGCTTCTTGCATATGACATCTTGCGGAGTGCACTGTGAAGCAATGTTCTGATGCTGTGTGCATGCATGGAAGGGGCACACGTAACTTCTAACATTCTATGGCATTCAAAGGGTCAGTCCAGTATGACATCACATTTACTGCAGGTGTGAATGACACAGCAAAGCGCCAATACACTGGCTTACTCCAGAAGGGCAACGAAGGCCTCTTCGGCATGACCTCTACTAATGTTCTTTCTCCTGCTACTGCCACCACCAGCATGAGCAAAACCAACACCACCACCACCACCACCACCACCACCGCCACCGCCACCACCAAAGCCACCACCCACCATCAGCATCCACAAACCATCATCAGCATCATCATCATCGTCAACAACATCATATTCATGACGTCAGCGGGTGCGAAGTATTCCACCACAACTTGTCTGGAGACACAAGGGCGTTTCAGGGATACGCACGGAGCAGTTCCTGAACGAGAACATTTCGGCATGCGCCGGAAAGGACCCTCGAGCCCGCAAACCTCAATGCTGAACCCTTTGCCCGAAAACCACATGCCGTCCACGCAAAAGCCCAACTATGAAGGAACTCTAAACCTCCAAACCTCAAGCCCCAGACAGCCCATTCTGCACTCCGATGCCCGACCGACCAAAAATCAAGCCGCAAACAGACCCTCGAGTCGCACTGTCCTCAGCTCCTGAACCCTAACCCTGAACTCCCACACTTGAAAAAGTCTCACATCGACACCAGCTCCATCACCGTCATCATCATCATCATCACCAGCCGAAGCAGCATCGTCATCGCCATACCACAGTTACAAGGCATGAACGACAAGCTTGTTTAAGGCACTCGTCTGAGGCGAAAAATATGACGCTCTGCCTTCGAAGAGCTCAGCTTGGAGGCCCCTGTCGTCGAAGCCTCGGTTGGAGAACACGTGCTCGGCTTCAGGATGTAAGCTTTCGGATTCAAGGAACCACCATCCTGGCATATCGTGGCCAGGCTTGATGAGCAAATACAGAACCGCTCGAACTAAAGAGCTGCGAACGGTAACGGCCATCCTGCTGTCGTCACCTGCTCATATCTGAAACGGTTGCGTCATCATTCCTGAAACCGAAACATGTTTCTTCGCGCTTCCCAACAGAACGCCTTCACGAAAACGCTGGACGGTGGAACCTGCTTATGTCTTGCTGAAGCACCGCGGGCACTGTGAGACTCCGCGCCGTCGACGGCATGGCTCCGGCAGCATCCGGCTTGTCAGAGCTGTCCTGCACGGTTTGATTGCGCTAGCCCCTCGTGCACAGTAGCATCTTGCTGATGGTCGGATGGTGTGGCATACAGTCGTGGTGCCAGCTGCTGCCGTCTTTCTCCGGCAACTTTTTTGCGGACGCCGTAAAATTGCCCTGCCTTGCTTGCCCCAGCCCGACATAATGACATAATGGACGAAAGTGCACAAAAGCGGTACAGGCTATGAGAAAGACGAGAAAGAGACAATGGGCCACGAATCTGGCCTTTCCACGGCTAAGCGGCCCTGCCGGCTCGGCAACCTCAATTCCAACTGTGACTTGCTATGCACAGGCAAAAAGGGCAAGCAGTCTTCCAAATGGCTCCGTCGCTTTGGGTGGACCGAGCATGAGGTGCAAAGCTACGTCATGTTGCTTTCGCAATTTCGAAGCAGTCGTACTTGTACGAAGGAGCCACAATTCTTCGACTGCTTGTCGCTGTGGCAGTCGGTGCTGCTGCGCGCGTCGAGGCCTCGCACGAGAGAAGCCCCCTTCCTGAATTACACCGCACACGCGTTGGCCCCTGCGCTATAAGACCACCTACACTGAACCCGAACACCCTTGAGGTCCTCAAAGGCTCTCAGCAGCTTCAGTAGCAAAGACTCCAACTTGCAGCTCAGCAGCTTCAAGGGAAAACGATGGTTGCTAGCTTTATCATTACGGTTTCTGAGCTTGTCGTGGGACTTGTGATCAGCATCGTTACAACCGCTGTTATTGTTAGGATATTATTGTTGCTGGTGTTGTTGCTGTCCATTTTACTGTTGTTCGTGCTGCAGCTGCCGCTGCCGCCGCTCGGGGAGTGCGGGTGCTGCTGCTGATGCTGCTCTGGTGCTGCTTCTGGGGCTGCTGTTGCTGTTTCTGTAGCTAAGGCTGTTGCTGTCGAGATTGCTGCTCTTCTTGTTCTTGTTATTGCTATTGCTCTTGTCCTTGCTCTTGTTCTCGCTAATGTCCTTGTTCTTGCCATTGTTATGGTTCTTGTTGTTGGTGTTGTTGCTATTGCTGTGGTTCTGGTTGTGGTTGCTGCTGTTGCTGCTGGCATTGGTGTTGTCGTTGCTGCTGCTGATGTTGCTGTTCTTATTGTTGTTGTTGTTGTTGTTGTTGTTGCTGTCGCTGCTGCTGCCGTTGTTGCTGCTGCTGATGGTGGTGGTGGTAGTGTTGGTGGTGGTTCTGTTTAGCCCCTGAACCACATTCTAACACAGTTCCGAAGGCTTTGTGTCCCCAAGGTCATGAAGAATTTGCTGCACGAGCTGTTTTACCCAACGGTGCAACAAACTGAAAAATCATGAGGTGCCGGCTTCATTGGTCCGAGACGCCGGCGCCGGTGCCTGCGCTCGGCTTCGATTTCGAGACGGGGAGGTACTTTCTTCTTCTGTAAGTTGCAGACATGTGCAGTGATGTCGTTAAAAGGAGGGCAGTGATCCCCAACTCCGGGCGATTCCAATCCTACCAGGACGGGTTCCTCATCGATGGGACCGAGGATGTCCGCGAACATTTCATCGACGGCATTCGACCTCGCCGTATCATCCTCGCATTGCGAAGGCTCGTAGAGAATGGAGCATACCGTCATCGAAAAGGGGCTCAAGGCAAGAGTAAGAGGTCTAAACACTGCAGTTTGTATTCACTTTCTTCGCAGGGCCTGAGTCGCCTGCAATCCTATTTCCAGATAGGATACAAACTCGCTCTACGAGGATGCGTGGCACCCTTCCTGGTGGCGGGTCATCGGTTCTGCTGCAGGCTCTAGCGGCCCCGCCATGGCTGCGAATCCGCCCACGGCAAAGGTCACCTGACCGCGCACACCCTAAGCACAGTCGGTGTTAGATCATGTGAGGCATCCTTGACCGTGCAAAAAAAACGTCTGCCTCGGCTGCGCGGGCACTGGCTTGGCTAGGCATGCCCTCCACCGACAGCTCGATGCCATCGTCCTCATCTCTCCACCCAATCCAACACTTCAGTGCTACAGTGCCTGTCTTTGGCTTCAATACGTCTCAAGCGACAGATCATCCGACCTGCCGGATTCGCTGATGCACGCATATATATATATATACAGACAGACGTACATACTTGCCAGCCGGCCAGGCTGCCAGCCAAACCGGCAAAAAAGCAGGAAGCAGACAGATAGACAGACCGACTGAATTGATTAAACATGTATCAGCATAGCATAATGTAGCTAGGAACAGCATTAGACAAAACACAACAATACAGCATGATGCGTTGTAAACAGCATGATGCAGTATAGAACATTATCATAATATGTTCTTTCATAGTACAAGCTGACATGAAACACTCTAAAACTGCTCAATGTAACACCCTACATTCTGCTGTAAAGCATAGCACAGCATATGACTGCACAACATAACATAACAGAACATAAAACACATGACTTAAGGCGAGCATCAGTAAGAGAGAAAAGACGCCAAACAGCACAATAGACTGTAACAGAACGAAAACATGTGAAGGAGTGTCATACATCGTCATGAAACATGGCACCATACTATAACATACTATGGTGTAACATACTCTTGCAAAGCACCGTGTGGCATGGCATAATAGACTGTAGCAAGATATAATACAACATAGTTTTGTAGTACGATGCAGTACAATACAACGCAATATCATACACTGCCGTGTAATAAGCGTAAGGAAAGAGACTATGCGGTCATGCAAAATAAAACTCATACTTAGATTACTGCTATAATGATATCCCTGTCAGTAGATAATCTGGATATCAACAATAGTAATGATGTTGATATGTAACACTGATATTCGCCTACTTCATTACTCTTATTATCAAACGAAATGACATGCCTGTGATCTGATGATATGGCACGACACGACATAAGATGACGTGAGATGAGATGAGGTCGGATGAGATGGCACGGTATGATATAATTCATATGATTTCATATGATATTGTCTGATGTATACTGTGCCGACACGAAGGTATAGACACAAGCACAGATGGGGCACAGCGCTTGCAAGTCAGCGCAAGCGTTTGCCACTCACGTCTGCTTACCTCCTCAATCTTGGCACTCTTCCTTCACCTACAGCCAACAGTATCGAGATCGAAGTGGGTGGGTCCTCCTCAGCGTGACCAAGCGATCTTGGAGCGGCTTCCTCGCTGGGACGAGCATCGTGCACGACTCCTTCCTGTCGTGCTGCACAGGCAACCTCCACTTCTGCCACAGCCTGTGCACCAGCTCGACAGGTGAGCACAATGAAGACTTGAAGGCAACGATGGTGTCCGGTTGAATGGTTCCGGCTGCACCCCTGCACCGTACAGGATTACATGCACAAACTGAGGTGCAAGAACTACCCGATTCCGAAAGGCACCCTCGATGATAGCCTCTGGACAACTCGCCGTCAAGCACACCCCTTTTTCGCACCAACATCTACCCTCACATCACCGCCTCTGCCTGGCCCGAGGGCATGGCCAGTGAGTCCGCTGACTCCGGCTCCGGGGCGGGCTGGGTGGGCGCCTCGGCCACGGTCGAAGTGAGGCTCCAGTGCCGCAGTGCTCATGCGGCACAGGTCACTACAGCAGCATTCAACATCCTGTTCCCCGTGGGAGCCAGAAGGCGAGAAACGGAGTCTCGTGGACCCGGCTCTCACCATCTCAAAGCCACAACTAGCCCTTCTTTGAACACCCGACACCCGCAAAGTAGGTCCCGGCCTCGTTGTGAGACCCAGCGGAGTCCGAGCTGATCTCCACCTCACTGGCCTGCAAAGGCCAAAACTCAGACATCAAACACATCAAACACATGGAGATGTATGCATGCACATCGGGACAAAACGGGCGCAGGGAGGGAAGGAGGGAGGGACGGAGAGGGGTGAGATAGTCAACCAGACAGCGCACAATATGCAATGATCTGAACTCCAACAAGCGCCGACAGGCACCTGACCACAAGCATCCGATCACCCACATCAAAAGTTGAAAACCCCACGCTGAAGCGTCCCAGCAAGCTTTAGTCTCCAACCCCAGAGGACTCAACATTCCATTTCTGGCTCCTCACATGCATGCAACTGCTAACATAGATGCGGTTTGAGCTATAGTCAGCCACATTGAGGCACGAGCTCATGCTGAATCAAGGGCTTGGTTCAAAATGAACCGGCTGAGACAGGACCCTTGGCATGCTAATCGCGAGGCCGAATTTCTCCCGAGGTTGCTGCCTGTACTCATGTCACACACACGTCCCTAGATGCGAAGTGGAACTGCATTGCATATTGATTTTCGGCAATTGAGTACGTGGGTGTGACACCCTGAGTTGTAAACGAACGACCAATTCACGTGCCGCGAACAGCATGTTGGTTGGCATCCGTGTGTCAACCGCTAATTTTCAGTCGACAACCTACCAGCGTGCGAAGCCGGTTTTTCTAAAGCAGATGCTTTACCAATTTTGTGTGGTAACCTATTCGCTTATTGAGTGCATTCATTCACTCGGCACGACACACAATGAAATTAGGATATGAACGGGAATACGATACGGCTTCCGGAAGTTTGAGAATTTCCTCCCATGTGTTGAAACCCAAGACCGGGACCCACATCCTCATTGATCAACCCAACCAGTTCAGTAAACCGGCGGGTTCAGGATCACCTTGACGGAAAGATCTGGACCCTGATACCGCCTCCCCTGCGCTTGTGCTCCCGAAGCGCTACTGCAGCGACTACGGCTGCGGGCAGACCGCCTGCTGGATGAGCTGTAGCAAGTCGGCAGAGGCGACGCTCTCACCAGACTCCGAACCCTGTCAGGTGAGAAGTGCACAGAGCTCTGCGCCGAGCATGGAAGCCTCGAGGACACCGATGTCTCCCACATCGCCGACTTCTATGGCAGGAGGCGCCTGCCAAGAAAGGTCTGATGGGCAGCTGCTCACTGCGAAGCATCCTTCTTGGGCAACTTCAGCCAGCACCTTTTGGCCTTTCATCAGTCTCTATGCGGGCCCTCCTGGCGGCTGTGTCTTGAAGCTGTCGCAGCGGTGGAGGCCGTAGCAGGATCCTCGGATGGAGCCCCAACCAACAGAAGCTCGCAGAAGTGCCGACTTCGGCTTGGCCCCTGACGCTTGCGTCGTGCAGGCCGACGTCGAAGAGCAGATCATCTGCTCCAGCCTCCACCTAAGGAGACTTGGGATTTTCCGAGATAAGGGGTACCTTGTTTTGGTGTCCTTAGAATAAGGATCCTACTATTTAGGGTACTATATTGGGGTCCCCTCTTTTCGGAAATCCCCACTTCAAAGGGAAGGTAGAGGCTGCCATAGCCCGCCCTGCCTTGGGACCGGGGGGCAGCACCGTCAGCAAGGAGTTTGCCTGAGTAGGCAAAGCTCGGACAAAAATTTCACGCAGTGCTCCTTGTCAAGGCCCTGAACCCTGTGTCTGCAGAGCCCTGAGCAAACGTCTAAAACTCCTTTTTCATCTTGATCCCCACCTGCTCTGCCATCGCCGAAGACGAGCAAACGTGAAAACCGGCCAAAAGGCTGCGTAAACGGTTATGGTTTGATATGGCTGGATTCACACATGACGACATCCTGCTCCCTGTGTCCGAGGCATGGGTATCACGGTATCACGGAAGATCCACGAATCACTAGGATTTGTGTTCTGACTTGATATGCTCTTGTCCGAACAGAACGGTGTACGGCCATGGAACACCTAGGTTATGCCTGCCTCTGTTATCCGAAGTGTTTGCCCCCACTTGCCATGGATGAAATCCTACTTTGGGCCGAGAAGCTTCCGCCGACTTGTAAGATCAGGGACGGCTTTGCTGTCCACTTCCGTGCCCAAACCCCCGTGCCAGACAGCCTTCATAATTCGAACTGGGTTTTGGGGCCCATTATACTATAATTATAATAAGGAACGTGTGAGTATCAGAGTTTTCGAGTTCATGTCCAAAGTCACTGGATCCCAAGGCCTCATCGGGCTTGCGCCCAAGCCATCAAGCCAGGCTCTCGAGGGTCCCTGCCCGCCGAAGCCTCGGCAACTTCATTCGCGGAATGTTACAGGCCCGTCCAGTCTACTTTCACCGCATCACTTGGGCCCGCTCACGAACAGGTGCCGGTGCTGAGACGGCGTGGTTGCCTGGCACATGTCTAGAGTTGGATGTTACAAAAATGGCCTTCGTTGCGCACATGGGCGGTGCCACGAGGACAAAAAGGCTTCGCAGCATTCGAGCGTCAATCCCAACCTTGTGGTCCTGATGCTGATTGAGACCCTCATGGCAATCTAAACCTCACGGCTATCTGCCGCTTTCGAGAAAACGAGCCAGGACTGCCCAGACGCCATAGAGCGTCGGGACTCTGCGCAACTTGCCTGCAGGTGTTGAAGGCAGGTGCGATTCATCGCCTATCTGTAACGACAGCCGTGAGCCCAAGCACTGACGTGTTGGCTCTCGGGATCCAGCCACCAGCATCGCAGGTACCGTCGGTCAAGAAAGCAGTCAACTCCTGCACGCCCACAGAGCTCAGCACACATGGCAAACAGGTCATGCACCGTGCTGCGAGCAGAATGCCAACAGAGTAAGACATCTCATGCAGTTATGTGCCGAAGATTGCTTCGAAGCACTGCATGCGGACCAGCTCGTGTCAAAGCATGGTTGAGGCCAGCACGTAGGTACTCCAGCTGTGCGCAAACTTCAAGGCTAGCCTGGCATTCCGGATGGGGAGGCAGGCCCAGGGCTGATGAATATTGCTCACGGTGCTTGGAATGTCTCGCGATGAATAAGGCCACTTGTTCCTAACTTCCATCTGCATCCGTCACTTGGACCTCATAGCCCGAGTTGTTACGATAAGCACATTTAATTGGGACATCTTGTGCGGCCCAAGCCCTTCCCTGACCATGAACCAGAACATCCCGTCTGGTAAACGCGGTCCACCGTGCATTGGTGGAAGGTGTCACGATTTGGACACTGTGTGGAGCCCGTGCTGCTTGCATGGTATCATCTATCTCGACATGCCGACACTGCTGCCCAGCTCGCGGTACACAAGATGTGGGCTACCAAGACATGTGAGGTTGTGGTTACTGGTGTTTTTCGAGAGATGGAGGGATCGAGGGAGGGAGGGAGGGAGGGA